GATCCATTATTGACTCATTATTTCTATTTCTCTTTCATGGAGGTGAAAAATAACGGGTTTGGCGGAGTGAGAATTATTTAACTTTGGCTCGGTGGATTTTTCGAGTGCACGTGATTGACTGATCTGAACCAATGTGAATTCCATGGGTATTTTTCTGGGAGCAAAACTTTGGTGGATATTTTTTAACGTTCAGTGCATACCAAGTATTGAGGAATATCAGTTGACCGTGAGTTTGTTTTTTCATACGTTCGGGTGATTTGGGGGTGGATGATGAGTTTTAATGAGTGATTGGTCTCTATTAGTGGGATCAATTAAAGATGTTTAAGTGAGGGGTAGGATATTCGAAAAATGCCGCGAATTCTAGGAAACTTTCTTCACTTATTATTTAATCCATTTAAGCACCTCTTGCAAAATTTCAGAAACCCCAGGTTCCGGACAACAACAAAAATGAATTTTAAAGATGCTGCTTGCGTATAACATTAAATGGATCTTCGATAATTTCAGTATTTTTTCCACATTGCGGACTGGTCGATCATGTAGGGAAAATGTACGAGTTATCGATGCTCCCTTTAACCTCACGCATACGTATCAACTTTAAAATTCATTTTTGTTCTTGTCCTGAACCTGGGGTTTTTGAAATTTTGCAGGGGATGGGTAAATGGATTAAATAATATGTGAAAAAATATTTCATGAAATTGGCTGCATTTTTCGAATATCCTACTTCTCTCCTGAACATCGTTAACTTGCTGTTACTTTTAGTAAATTCAAGCTTAATTCATGAAAATAGCACAAAGATTTCAGTTGACAAAATAATATCGTCTATTTTCTATTAAAACAAGTTCGAAAACTTCTTTTGAAATTTTACGTGTACAATCTTGAGATTTTTGACAACGACAAATTCATATGGAGTTTCCACGTGTTATTCTTCATGTGTGAGTTGAACTCTCAAGATGAGTTCTACAGGAATAAAATTATTTGGTGATTTTCAACAATTAGTTGTTGAAAAAATGAATTACCAACCAGTTATTGAATTTCAACAACTAGTTGTTAAAATTCACCAAATAATTTTCTCTGTGTATTACTATCGAGCCCTAATTCAATCGCTGAACACGACAAATCCTAATTTTTTGTGTCCACACAATGAATATGACATTTTCTGGTCACATAAGAATCCACACCTTTTTAAGTTGGAAAATTCTACTCCCTTCGTTCAATCAAAAAAAACATCCATTACACACGCTTTTCAGCCTTGAATTCCGGTCGAGCCATTCCAAAATCCATTGAAGCGAAAAAAGCTTCACCTTCAATATCACTCCCATCAGCAAACTCTCCAACCTCCTCGGTAAAAAAACCAGAGAAAAATGGTTCACCATTTTTTACCATGCCGCCATTATTAACGAATCACTTAATCAGCATTCCCTTTCATCTCTCCCTGATTACCATCCGAAAAATTCAATTAAGGCTCTTTCATTTGTAACCAGCGGAAAAAAGTGATATTGGAACTTTTAGCACACGTTCTATCATCTTCAAAAAGTTTTTAATAAACCACCGTCATATCCATACACTCTGGGAGCAGTTGAAATCCCATGGCATGGGAGACATCCAAGAAAACCAGAGCCAGGGCCCCTTTCATCCCCTCGGCGTTAGTTTTCCCCCTCTTGATTTCAATATCCACCCTCAGGATGGATACCCTGGCTTCTCGATTCACCTGTCCTGTGTACCATCATTGCTAATGCGTTTTCATGTTTTTAACAATTTTTTTTTTTCATTTTTCCCCTCGTTTTGCCGGGGGTCGCTATCAATGTAATACGTCGTTAGGAGTGACGTTGTGTTGGGCAAATGGAGGCAAAGAGCAGGCAATACGGAAGGGGCCGAGGTGAAAGAGAGGAGGGAAAGGCAAAACTCCGGAAAATTGAAATTAATGAATAGCCAGACCTTTCAGTCCATCCTCTACTATCTCATCAAGGGTGATTCTCTCTTCTCCACCTCCTGGAATGCTTCACTCTACCCCTTTAACAAAAAGGGATTGATATCTAAAGCGAGGATCAAGTGCTCGACAAGAGCGAATATCACTTAGCCGGTTTTGTTCCTCCACTCGCCGAGGATCCGATAGACAGTGGCGCTGGTGTTAAACGTTCTTGATTATAACGTTATTGCTCATTTTTTGGGTAATGGAGGAAGTTTTCATTTTTTGTACACTTTGAAGAGGTTTTCTTGTCTAAAACTGAATTCTGAAGAGGACAGTGATGAGCAGGGATCAGCATCAATTATTATTCTTGTAATATGATGAGATGTTGCACCTTACAATAATTAAGGTTTACTTATCTTTATTGAAATTTGAAAAATAATGGAATAATTTGTAATTAAAATTTTCAATTGACTATGGATTAAGTAATTGACAATATGGAATTGACTATTGAGTAAATAATTTTAAATGTTATAAAAGGATTTTTCGATTTCCCAAATAATCGTCAATCTCCCGAACTCAGTTATTGATTGATAAATTAATTAGGAATTTGAATATTTAATTGATGATTAATTTAATAATTTGAAAATTATTGGGTAACAGTAACCGATGCAAACTTCAACTTAATTTAAAATTGATGGTTACACCGATGTCTGGTGACGAACGATTCTACTCCGACCAGTGAAGAATATGTTCCGGAACGTCTTGGAAGGTCCTAAACAGAGGAAAGAAGTTTCTATTCCGTCAATTAAATTCCTTTAGTTGGCTATATCTCCCTACTTCATGGAGGGCAAGTGCCATTGTTTCACTAAAATAAGATTTTTTTGCCAGGCAAATACTCCGATTGAATCTCCCAATTATTAACAACATTGGAAGCGGCCGTTACACTGTGGACTCTGTCCTGAACAGCCGGAGCCATTAAACATCAAATAATAATCAACAAGATCCCAAGGGCGTTTCTGGATTCCTTTACTTTTTTCTCTCTCGTATACTCTTTCGGGTCAACCCCCTGTACCGCATTCGCTGAAGGACAAGGGCAACCTCACTTGGGGGAAAAACCTGCCCAGGTACAGTCGTCTCTCGCGAAACTCCCGCTCAACAAATGAAACCGTGAGAATTAGAGTGTCACACATCTTGGCTTCCCCAGCCGGGAATCGAACCCGAGTCTCCCGCACGCCAATCCCACACGCTAACCACACAGCCAGCGCCGTCGATTTCTTCACTTTATTCCTTTCTGTTATAACTAGCTCGTACTGGAATTCCGGTGTAAACATTTTCCAGGTGACCTTGCTGGTGTTTTGCTTCGCTTGTTTTCAATACTGAATCTCTTCATCTAAGGAATTCCATTATATTCCTCATCGCGGGTACCTTAACTTGAAATATGTCGCTGTCTTCAAATCCCAAAGTTAACCCTCGAGTCGTCGCACTTTTCTAGCATTCCACTCGCTCTACCGTGGCGCCCTATAAGTCGGGTATGGTTTAGCGGCGCTGCGCCCATTGTGCGACCACTCGAGAAATAAGATCGATGAATGAAAATAATCCAAGTTCTCTTTCCAACAATTAATTAGCCACTATCCAAATATTAATTAATCATAGTATTAAAAAACCTTTTCACTTTTAACAATGCACTTTCCGCAATCGAGTGATCAATTTAATTACACTAAATTCTATTTGGGAACCCCCTGTATCTAAGATTGCTATCAATTATCGCAGTGCCAATAGAAAATGTAAAAAGGGAGTAAGAAAAAGAAAGAAAAAAGGAAAAGAAGAAAGGATAGAAGTTAAGAGAGGATATTTCGGACGGAATGATAAATATCCTACAACACTGATAGAATGATTCAGTTATTCCAAACGAGATTCGTTAACTATTAACGAATGGTAGAGTTGAATACGACCAAATGAATATTCGTTAATAGTTAACGAATGGTTCACTTGAATGGCGAAAGTCAAGTCAAACAAAGCTCCTCAAATATACATTCCTTAACTATTAACGAATGAACATTTGGTGGGACCGGATAGACCCTAACCTCCAACCAAAATCCATTCGTTAACAATAACTAATCCGTTCTATCAGTGAACGGAACAGACGAGCGACTGTCAAGCTTGGGGACACCCAGCGAACTTTCGTTTATTGTCCTTAACTTGAAAAACATGCATTGGAAACTGTCATGGTGGAGGCGCATGTTTTAGAAGTGCTGGGGCGACGCGTGAAGGACGCATTCTCATGTGAATTTTTATAGGAATGAGCAATGATAAAACAATATCAACGGTGCAGCCGCGATGGCCCTAGTCTTTAGGAAAAATTTCTGAACTTCCGAACACAATTTTATTGAAATCAACGAGTACTCGATTGATCAAATTTCTCAATTAACCCGAAAATAAATAGGAATTGGTCGAAAGATGGGTAAATTTTCAACAAAAGAAGGAAAAATTTTTTTTTGTTAGTTCGTTCACTCTACCGTCTGAGGCTCAAACCAGACACCCCAGTGTGTGCCATTATCAGAATGAAAAGTTCTTATTACTGCAGAAGTTGAATCTCCTTTTTTATAGTATGATTTGATGAGGAATGTTTTTTGTTTAATGATTAGGTTTATCCATTCTATAAGCATGAATGAGTACTAAAAATCGAGTTCGCTTTATAATTACGTGACCTGCTGGATAATTCTGTAGCGAAGCGGTAAACCGGTTCAAGTCGATTTAGACTATTGGTCAGTTTTGAACGAATGTCTCGGAATCTAAGGAAGATAGCTATGTTTGTGTAATAACCTTTTTTGTAGCTCTTAATTCGCTCTACAAAAAAGGTTATAATGACAATTTCGCTATTTCTCTTAGATTCGGAGATATTCCTCGAAAACTCAGCGAAGAGCTAAGTCGACTTGACCCGGTTTACCGCTTCGCTACTGAATTTTTTTCCAACTTTTTTCTCGGTGAATAGTTCTATCAGAATAATGATGATTGGAGAAAAAAAAATATAAATGTAAAATAAATAAATGTAATAAGTGTAATATAAATGTGTGTAAATATTCAATTACAGACTACTGATCCATGTGATAAAGCCCGGGCAATGGCAATTCCAAGATCAGCCCTTCATTGTAGAAGCCTGGTGCAAGAGGGGACCTTCGGTAGAGTGTACAGAGGATCTCTCAATGTCGCTGGAAAAGACCAGGAAGTCTTCATTAAGACTGTAACAGGTGAGCAAATTATCATCCAACTCCGCCTAAGCGGTTCTTTTCAAACGAAAATTTCCATTAACCGCTTTTGATAAAGTAGAAAAATCGCTTATCACCGATCGATGAAGTAGATAAATGTCTCTTTTCAATTACCCGACAATTCGATTACTTTCAATTATTTATTGAAAGTGAATATTTGTCCTCAGACATTTTAATTAGAATGGCAGAGTACTAGACCTATTTTCAGAGTAATTAATTTGCATGGAATAATGAAAAAATTATTTCAGAAGTGGCCTCGGCGTATCAAGCATCACTTCTCGTTGTGGAGGGCTCACAACTGGCTGGGCTCGTTCACGTTAATATAGCCTCACTTGCAGCAGCTTGTTTGGACACACCGTGTCCATTATTAGCATACGCTTGTACATCGAGTGAGTTAAATTTAAAGACCTACCTTACCGACGGTGTTCATCATCCAGTTACCAGGGATCTTGTTAATGTTGGCGTACAAGTGGCGCGCGCTGGTGCATTTCTGCACGGGCGGGGTCTCTTACACAGGTAACAACATGGTCATGTCGTCGATCAATGAATAATTGATTAATTAATAACGTAAAAATTTGGAAAAAAAATGGATCGAATTTCTTTATTGTTACATCCTAACGATGAGAATCTAGCTTTTGGATAATCGAAAAATGGGAATGAATATTAATTTCGGAATATTCATAGATGATTTCTAATCAAAAATATTCCAAGTATCTCATCAATTTAAATAACGATGAGAGATTGTAGTTGACAAATTTCATGTGATTATTCTGATACTCAGGGACATCGCAACGAGGAATTGCCTAATCGAGCCGAGTAGTTTTCGAGTACGGTTGGCAGACGCGGCATTAGCGAGGGATCTCTTCCCGCAGGACTATCACTGTCTTGGGGACAATGAAAACAGGCCCATTCGCTGGATGGCCCTTGAGAGCCTTCAGCTTAATCAGTACAGCACTGCGACAGACGTGGTAAGTCATTAATACACTGAATTATTCGGGATTCCCTTTCTAGGGGCCATTATAACTTTGGGTGTAAACACCAAAATATTTTTCACTGGTCAAGTCATACAATCCAATTTCCATCACATTTTATATAAGATCACTTTTATATATGCGTGGGCAATTAGTTTATTAAATCTTTCTGAATTATTATTTTGTAAAATGAAAGTCCCTTGGTAGTAAATGATGATTTTATTAGAAGAATTTCGAGCGAAATAGATTATAAAAGAAACATGAAAAGTTGAAGGACTCATCCGCGGATTATGACATGAGAAAAGATTCATGGAAAATAAGGATGTGATTGTGACTAAGGGAGTGGAGAGGGAGGAAGAGAATAAATACGCAACAATGTTGACCTGGAAGCATCTTTGAAGGGAATCGCTCATACTTTCGCGAAACTGTATTGTATATTAATGACTAATACATTGTTATTAAAGTCATTATGGCTGATGAATTAATGTCTGGACCCTATCCGAGTAGAGATATTAAAACGAGAAATCCAACTCCAGCCTTTTGTCGTCAAATAATATAAGTACTGGTGGCCTCTTAAAAGGAATTGTATTTTTAATTAACAATTTTTATGGATAATGGCAATAACAATGTTATGTAAGATAACAATGAGCTACTTTCTTAATTTTTTTCATACTCGCGTCTTGATGCCCTTTCATATTCATTTTTTTAATGAATTGTTTATAATCATTCTCATTACAAATAGCAATACGTTCGATGAGAATCATATGTCCCAATTTATCAGATGTCAAATAAAATAAGATTTTACTCATAATTACAATTCAGTTCCTTCTAGAACACACTTTAGAGTGTGAATTTCAGGGATTCAATGTTTGTTGATACTCTAGTGAAAGTGCGTGCCTACACTGTTATCAATTTTTAATTAGTTCACACGGTAATTCAATTAAGCTGTTGTTCATCTAATCAATATAATTCCGTGCTTAGAATATTGGCATCTCGTGTTTTCAGCACCAAATTAAAAATTAAAACTTAATGTGGAATATTGAGTTATAGCTTCTTTTTATTCATATCGGAAATTTTGTATTTGGATATTAATATTATTTGTTGACAGTGAAAAAAATCATTATTTTCACTATATTGCATTCGGATTCTCTTATCCTTGACGTCAAAAATGTGAGACAATCTCATAATTCTAGTAAACCTCGGTAAACGCAATATCAAGAAAGTAGAATTATTCTATTTTCCTCTGACCTAAATGCTTTGGACAATTATGATTCGTTTATTCATGTTTCATAGCACGGCATTCCATTCTTTTTTGTTTGTCAGGCGGGTTTCATGAAAATTCAATGCAAGACGATTGTACTCATGAAAACCGTCTTACTTTTTCCGTTCGTTCGAGATATCCGCCAAGTTCGAGTTCTCATTTTCGACTCGAAATATTGCCCATGCTTTTTTTAGAAAAGATACCGCCTACAGTATTTCCTGATGAATGGCATTAGAATCTTCGTCTTCGTCTCAGATTATAAATTCACATTCGTCAGAAAACACTTGGTGGAGCTAATGATGAAATCTACTATTTTTGGTTCCATGCAGTACTGCCTCCAAGAGTAAGATAGAGTTCTGTAGGACAACTGATGGTGGTCTAATGAAACGGATGGCATCTGAGTTCATCAATTTTTCCTTCATCCAATCAAAGAAAAGGCCTTCGGGCAATAACCGATGGCAAGCTTTTTGCGGCAGACTCCTTTGAAAACTAATAAAATCAATAATTTGGTACTGATCATTAACGTTGTGATTCAACATTTCAATAAGTGGGCGAATTCGCATCTTGGTGCTGCTAACAAATTTGTAATTCCATTGAATTCTCACTGAAATTTTAGATTTCATGATTTCTTCTCCCCTAAATCATTTTCAAGGTCGTTTTCTTGAAAATTACCACGAATATGTCCATGAAATGCAGTGATGCCGCGAGAGACTTTACGAGACAATACTTTGGAGAGATAGTCTCGGTCTCAATAAACATGGAAATGTTTGATCTTGTCTCAGTCTCGAAATACGCAGTATCGACTTCGTTGGCGATGAGTCTGAGTTAATTTTTCATTGCTCAAGCCCAAAAAGGGCTCTTTTACCGACGGTAGTTAAGCATGAGAAGTAGGTCTNTCGGCCGCCTTCGGCGGCCTCGTCTCCGACTCACGTGCCTCGTGCGCCTGTACTCCACCAGCGTTGAATTCAGCACTTCTCCGCCTTAGCACGTAATATACTATTTCTCATATCGGTTTCAAGTTTTTCTTGTTTTTTAATGTAAAATCCCGGTTTGTCTCGTCTCGATTTTCTACGTATAAAAAACGTGAAAAACTGGAAACCAAGATGAGATAAATTGCGTCTTTCGAGACTGAGACAAGACCAAAAATTGCCGTGTTCGCTGAAACCAAGACAATGCCTCCAAGTATTGTCTTGTGATATCTCGTAATGTCTCTCGCGGCATCCCTAATGCAACTTCAATTTTTTCCAATATAGTATTTACCTTCATTCGTATTCCAAATTTTTCTTTGCTTTTGGGCTGTCCTACGAAGAAAACTTCAGCATGAGTGATTGTCTCATAATTTTTTTTCCAATGTTTCAGTGGTCCTTCGGCGTTTTCCTGTGGGAACTAGCCACAATGGGTCAACAGCCGTACATCGAGGTCGATCCTTTCGAGATGATGGCATGCCTTCGTGATGGCTATCGCCTCGTTCAACCACGTCCCTGTCCAGATGAGCTTTTTACAGTAATGGCAGTCTGCTGGCTCGACATCGCCCGAGATCGTCCCACAATGCCACAACTTCTAGCATATTTACAAGAATTTCACGACGCCCTCGGTGGATTCATTTAAAACCCAAAATTCAAGTTTCAAAAATCAAAAACTCAAAAAACAAAAATGAATTAACGGAGAGGCATGAAAAGAATTCTAGCGACAATGAGTATCTCTCAAATCCCTCAATCCACTCCCTCAAAATAAATTCATACGTTCCTTCATTCCCTCGTTCACCAGACAAATCAAGGGAAAAAAATTTGAAACCAGCAAATCCAATCCGAACGGAATCACGAGGACAATAGAGTGCACACGATGGGATTCTGATGGAGCCTCCTTTAACCTCCACTTTATTCCCTCACTCCCGCCACAATCCAGTTGGTAGATGTGTTTCAACGTCGAGACGATGGGAAATTCGACAATTTTTTATTCAGGAACAATTTGCCATAGGATCGTGTGGAAGTGTTCAAGAAAACTCATGATGTGTGTTGAGTGTTTTGGTGGAGGGCGGGAGGGGGTTATAAATTGTGTCTAGAAAGTGGCGTAAGGGTAGCCAAAAACGAAGCAATTGAGGAAAGAGAAAGAAATCTAACGCAGGAAAAAAAATAGTGAAAGAAAAAGTCATAAAGGAGGAATATAAATACAGGAAACTCGACAGAGGTTTTGGCTCCTTACAAAAGGCAAATGGGTGTGCGCTATATATTGCGGAGGGAAATAACAATTCTAGTTACATGGACTGGATGACGAAATGTATTATTAGCCTGCGATTTATTTCTGCAGTATAAAAATGTCTGAAAGTAATATAAATAGAGAAAATGATGGAAAGATGGAGGAAGTCAAATGTAATGAATATTCTTACGATTCGATTAGACACAAAATGCTCAGATGTGCAATCAAATGTTTATTGAAAGTCTGATGGAAATAGACGGCGTGGAATTGAGCTGAAACCAAAAAATAGGATATAATGAAAAAAATCAAAATTTTACAGCCGTAAAATTTAAGAAATACTTCTGCTGTTTTCTAGGGTCTTCTGTAATCATTTGCGCATCAAAAAATATTTTTGTGAAGTTTCTCCTCAATTCTTTTTCTCACCGAGAAACTATTTTTTTTTCAATATTGCGTGGTGATTTTAAACTATGCGAGTACAGTGAATTTTTAATAACTTTTCCCCAATTAAAGGCAAATAGTTTCTTTCATTACTAGCATTCAAATCTTATAGTGTATTCTACGAAAAACATGCAGTATTGGGAGGTTTTACTTGAATCTTGTATAATTGTATTGAATTCAACAGCGAAGCGGTAAAAAGGGTCAAGTTGACTTACTTCTTTGCTGAGTTTTTGAAGAATATCTCAGAATCTGAGGGAGATAGCTAAATTTTCGTAATAATCTTTTTCGTAGCGCTCAATTCGCTCAAGAGAAAAGGTCATAATAAAAATTTTGCGATTGGTCTTAGATTCCGAAATATTCATTGAAAACAGACCAATAGTAACACCGTCTTGAACCGTTTTACCGCTTCGCTACTGAATTAGAATATTTTGTTTAGAGAATTTTATTTTCATGTATTTGGTTTCTTAAAATGAATACCTTTAATCAAAATATCCAGGTTCTCAAATTATCATGGACATGTTAAAAAGTGGATTAAATGATACCTACAATCGTTTTTGCCCCGTGAATCAACAAAAAACTACGTGTTATATTTTTATTTTTAACCCTTAAGTGGTCGCATCGTGGGGGAATCCCCGCCAAACCATACGCAACCTATGTGGCGCCACTGTAACGTAAGAGATGCTAGAAAAGCGCGGCCACATCCGGGTTAAAATAGCCCAAGTGCCTCAGTTTTGATTCCATTGACAACTTTTTTTTCGAAATGTTCATTAGACTCCAAAGAATAAAGTTCTCGATTTTCGGTTTTTGATTCAAGAACTTGCGGTACACATTTCTTCTGGAATTATGTAACTAGTTCCTTACTCTCAGTGCAACGCATTCTAGAACTGTGAGTTACAAAAATACAATTAATTAATTCGATCAATAATTAATGGCTCTCAAAGCCTTTAGCCATCTAAAATCGTGAGTTTCTTATGATTAGTGATTTGGTTCTGAAAACTAAAAACTTTTTTCTCCGTGATGTTCAAAACCGGGACTAGGATGTGATGAACAACGCTTGTATTATTGAAGAATATATTCAATTTGGGAGAACAAAAAACAATCTATTGAGCCATCACCCAAAATGCTATCTTGCGCACATACTTTGGAACACACTGTACTGCATGATGTATCATAAGTTTTTAAAGAAAGAATGAATTCATTATTGTTTCCGGAGGGTTGTACACTTATATAAAAATTCAATTAGCAAATCGATCAATAGTTACTGGCTCTCAAAACCTTTAGCTTTCTAGAACCGTGAGTTTCTTAAGATCCGTGACTTGATTCCGAAAACTAACAATTTTTTCTCTATGAAGCTCACAGCTAGGACTAGGATGCGATGAACAGCGCTTGTATTATTGAAGAATATATTCAATTTGGGACAACAAAAAACAATCTATTGAGCCATCACCCAAAATGCTATCCTGCGCACATACTTTGGAACACACTATACTGCATGATGTATCATAAGTTTTTAAAGAAAGAATGAATTCATTATTGTTTCCGGAGGGTTGTACAGTTATATAAAAATTCAATTAATCAAATCGATCATCAATTACTGGCTCTCAAAACCTTCGGCCTTCTAGAATCTCGAGTTTCTTAAGATCAGTGATTTGGTTCGGAAAACTAACAACTTTTTTCTCTATGAAGTTCAAAGCTAGGACTGAGATGCGATGAACAGTGTTTGTATGATTGAAGCACATATTCAATTTGGGAGAAAAAAAAACAATCTATTGAATCACCATCCAAAATTCTACCTTGCTCACATACTTTGGAACACATTATATTGAATGATATATCATAATTTTTTTAAGAACGAATGAATTCATTATTTTTCCCGGAGAGTTGTACAACTATACAAGAACGCAGTTAATCGGTTCGATCAATAATTGATGGCTCTCAAATTCAAATGATTCTAGTGAAAGACAACAAATGAGGCCAATAAATACAAAACTCAATGTCTCTCGAGTCACGTAAATCTTTCTTTTCCATCGTATAGCGACTTGTCCTCAATTACGAAACTGATACGTTTGCAAAGCAAAAGGTACGACTAAACGACTGATAGTTGAGGTCTTATCGTTTTACTCTACTATAACCATCCTCAACGAATACATTGTCTCAATACTTTCATGGGAGACCCCCTGCATGATTGTATCCAGATTGATATTCTATTTTTGTTGCGCAAATGGTACTGAGAATTGATATTCTAATAGCAAAGGATTGCAGGATGTTCAGGCATCTGAAGACAATTAACATAGGAAACATTCAAATAACCGATGTAACCAACGATTATCTCTGGGAAAATATGGAGAAAGCCTTGAATGAAAATTTTCAAATTTTTATAGAAAAATAAAATAAACAAAAACAAAAAAATTTCTCATCTCCCCCAGAGACTTGTAAATAAACACGAAGGACGTGAAATTTTCTAACTGTAATAGGTGTTTATATGTCGCATGTTTCTAACTTCGAAACACGAAACTATCTTTTCGATAATTCCTCCCCTCCCCCTTCGCAGCTCATCACTTTGTAAACAGACTGGTGCTAATAACAAACAAATAACCCCTACAAACTTTCACCCATTAGTCAAGCATAAACCAAATCTTTGGCTAGTTAAGGATGAACAAAACGTTTTACTACTACTAAATCTTAAGATCTTAACTGCTACTACCCATACTTTATGACGACAGGGAGAGTCAAACCAACGGAATGAATGAATGAGTGAATGGTGTATTGGTAAAGAAAAGGATAAATCAATGATTGAGTGGAGGAAGAAGATGAAGATGAAAGTTTTTCTTTGTTTGTGTCAATCGAATTGTTTGAAGTGAGACTACTATGAGTTTTTAAAATTCGCGGGCTATTGGAGTGAGATTTCTCCTGCAGTCAAAAAATGAATGATAGTGCAAAAAGATNATCGGAGCTCAGAATCGGAGCTCATAGCCCTGAAGATGCAGACTGCAATGTTTGCGAAACGTCGGCGCAATGCTGAAACTCAACGCGGCATCCATCCGGAAGCCAACCAAGTCATTAATAATGGCCGCGAAAGCCTCAAAACTAAGAAAAAGATTAATTGTTTATTATTCGTTTGCCCCTCAGATGCTTGAAGTGTTAAAATTAGTCCAGGACCTCCAATTTTCGTGCTACAGAAGTTTTTTTTCAAAATTTTTGAAAAAATGTGTTTAATACAAATTACTAGTTATTTTTTGAAAATCAACTCCTACACTGAGGAAAACAATATTTTGTAATAAGCATGTGTTCACTTGTACCAAGAAACTTTTGGCTGGAAAATTGACAAGAAAATATCTTACACTGACAAAGTAAAAACTTTCGTCAAGAGATTTTGTTCTTGTCTCAACCCGAGGATAATTTGTTAAGGATAAAAAAGGGATTTCTCAAACCAAATCTAATTGAATCAATTTATTAAATAGTTTTCAAGTCTCAAATCCAAAAAATTTGATTGCAAAAACCACTTGACTTAGTTCGACACGTCGCTTTCTTCTGATGAACAAATTGCTCGTCATCTTTCGAACAAGTACAAAATCTGTTGACGAACGGTTTCTTTTTTCAATGTGGGACATTTTCTTCTTATCAATCTCCGAGCCATGACTTCTCAAAAAAACATTTTTTTTTCTCAGTGTACACAGCTAATTTCGTTTTTCATGTAAAAAATTTCACAATCCATGTAAAATAGCCAGAAAAATGATCCTCAAAATATAAAAATAATATTCTCGATTCTTTCAGAAACATTTTTCGGGTTATTTTACATGAGCTTTGCAATTTTCTATAGAAGAAAAACAAAATTAGCTGTGTAGGAGTCGAATTTGAAAAAAATAGCTCGTAATTATTATGGTACACATCTGTTCAAAAAAATTGAAAAATAAAACCTTTGTAGCTCAAAAATTGGAGGCCCTGAACTATTTTCAACGTTTTGAGCATCTCCG